AAAGAGTTGTCTTGCTGAGGAACCTGAGAGATAGCACAGGTGTTAAGGAATTTGTCCTGCACATGGCAGGTCCTTTTTCAGTACTTGGTACCATATATGGCCTCCTGGGCACTGCCAGGAGTGACCCCTGAGCACAGAGTCAGGAATAAACTTGAGGACAGCTAGGTGTGGCCCCAAGACTAAAACAAAAATAATTGTCCTGCCTGACCAGGGAGATAGCTGAAAGGGCAGCGTGTGTGCCTTACATGTGTTAGTTCCTGAATCCACTTCCCAGCACCTCATGGTTCTCAGAACACTGCAAGGAGACGCTTGTTGGCCACCAGCACCACTGAGTCAGAGCACTTATCATCACCAGCCTTGCAATGAACCACAAGGGAACAGAGCTCGGCCAGTGTCAATGAACACTGCGCTTCTGGGAGCTGGGTTTTATAGTCTCTGGGTCTTGGCCATTGATGGGATTACCTAGTTGATGGGGCAGTTGGTGGGTGTGACCCCCCCTACTGGAAGATGGAGGATCTGGGTGGAGGATGCTCAGCCCCGATCTGAGCAGAGTTGGAGATCTCAGCCCCGGGCCCCATATGCCTGTGTTCCTCTGCCGGTTCCTTCATGCATGTGGAGAGTGGTCTCAGCATGGTTGTGGCTGGTTCTGGAGGTCTCCGGCTGCTGGGGCTCTGCTCGGGGCGGAGAGGGAAACTCATGTACCTTCATTAGGTACATGAAGGAAAATGTAGGCAGAACCCTTCATGACACTGAAGCTAAAGACATCAGTAAGGTTGAAACAATGCTGACCAGGTCAGTGAAAATAAACATAAAAAATGGGACTACATTAAACTAAGAAGTGTCTGCACCTCAAAAGAAACTGTGACCCAAAGAAGAAATCTGAATGGCTAAAAGGCACATGAGAAAATGCTCCACATCATTAATAATCAGGGAGATGCAGATCAAAACCACAATGAGATATCATTTCACACCACAGAGACTGGCCCACATCCACAAGAACAAAAGCAACCAGTGCTGGTGCGGATGTGTCGAGAAAGGGACCCTCCTTCACTGCTGGTGGGAATGCCGACTGGTTCAGCCCTTTTGGAAAACAGTATGAACTATTCTCCAAAAATTAGAAATTGAGCTCCCATTTGACCCAGCAATACCACTTGTGGGACTATATCCCAGAGAGGCAAAAAAGTATAGTTGAAGTGACATCTGCAATTGTTTGTTCACTGCAGCACTCTTTACAATAGCCAGAATCTGGAAAAAACCTGAGTGCCCAAGAACAGATGACTGGTTAAAGAAACTTTGGTACATCTACACAATGGAGTACTATGTAGCTGTTAGAAAAGACGAAGTCATGGCATTTACATACAAGTGGTACTACATGAAAAGTATCATGTTAAGCGAAATGACTCAGAAAGAAAGGAATAGACATAGAAAGATTGCATTCATCTGGGGAACATAAAGTTACAAAATAGGAGACTAACACCCAAGAATGGCCGATATCAGTACCAGGAATTTTACTCCATGACTTGGAGGCCAACCACACATGCTAGGGGAAAAGGGAGCTCAGATAGAGAAGGGAACAACAAATAAAGGGTGTTGAGAGGATCCTTCCAGGATGGGAGAAGCATGCTGAAAGTAGACTATAGACCAAACATGATTGTCACTCATTGCCTCTTTTGCAAACTACAACACCCAATAAGAGAGAGAGAACAAAAGGGAATTACCTGCCACAGAGGCAGGGTGGGATGGGGGGCAAGGGAGGGTGGGAGGGATACTGGCATCCATGGTGGTGGAAACTGGGCACTGGTGGAGAGATGGGTATTTGATCATTGTATAATTGAAACCCAAGCACAAAAATTTGTAAGTCTACAAATGTACCTCATGTTGTCTCACTAATAAAAATTTTTTTAAAAAGAAAACAGTGACCAAAATACATAGAGAGTCCACTACATAGGAAAAATTATTTACCCAGTACCCATCAGATAAGGGGTGAACATTCAGAATATACAAGACATTAGTAGAACTGTACAAGAAAAAAACCTCTCTAATCCCATCAAAACGTGGGGAGAAGAAAAGAACAGAAACTTCCCTGAAAAAAGAAATACAAATGGCCAAACGGCACATGACAAAATGCTCTACCTCATTAATCATCAGAGAGATGCAAATCAAAACAACAATAAGAAATTACACCACAGAAACTGGCACACATGAAAAAGAACAAGAACAACCAGTACTGATGAGGATGTGGGGAGAAAGTAACTCTTTCATTGTTTGTGAGAATGCCGACTGGTCAAGCTTTTCTGGAAAACAATATGTGTAGGAAAACATTGGTTTGTCCTATCTCCCTTGCCACAGGGAGCTTAGGTTTATAAGGTTACACTCATCACTGTGCTCCCAAGTCACTCCCATTCCTCTGTGTTTATCTGTAAAATCTCTTCTCTGTGCTCTCCTCCCCAACCAGTTAATCAGTTTTTTCCCCTAATCAGATTCTGTTAACTTGTAAGGTCAGATCCGTCTAAGAACACTGAACTTGTATTGTAAGTTAAATATTGCTTTCCCCCATCTTTTGCATAGTTTACTTTAAAGCAATGTCCTTTTTGTATGGACACAGGACAACAGTTAATATTATGCTTTTGTAACTTAGGAGTTAATTGACTCCAAATAATATTATTCTTTCATACATCTGCTTTCTCATCTTAAGCTTCAGTTGCCTTTACTTCCTAGCATTCCAAAAAGCAGGGTCCTGACGAGGGACTGAATGGACCCAGGGCAAACTGTGAGCTACCCTAGCATCAAAATGGGCAGGCCAAGCTCCACAATACTTAACTTATAAGTTAAGAGCACGGTCGTGGACAAACTCTGTCATGACCCAAAAGAGGTAACTGAATAAGGACCCTGTTGGGGTTAGGAAGACTAACCTGGCCTGAAGACTGTGGTCTGGAATTTATAGTGAGATGTCGTCAGGAAGAACCAAACTTTATGCTTGATATATCTCTTACTGTGCTCATACAAAATGGCATTGCTAGAAATATTAGAAGTAAATTTACTACAACTATTTAAGTGTATTCCTAGCTGAGGAAAGAAGAAAGAAACACACCCTGAATGGAATCCTGCCCTTGAGTAGATCTAGTAATCCGGAGTAATCTCCCTAGATGAGATTTTGTCCTTGAGTTAATCTCCTGGAGGAGTGGCTGCACCTCTCTTTGTTGATTTGTTAATATTCAACCCCACCTTTGTATCCCCACCCTACATGATTTCTATATAAACTAGGCTGTAAGAGTGAGCAAGAAGGAGAATGAAGGGGGATCCAGAGAGAGAAACAGAAGGAGAATCAGAGGAGAATGGAGAGGAGATTGGAATAAACTGCAGTTGATACCGACCAGCCTGGCCCTCGTTTCTTTCTTTGCCTGCTAACTGCCATCAGCCTCCCCGAGGTAGGGGAAGCGGCGGAGACCACTGAACACGAGTGGAGAGAGAGAGAGAGAGAGAGAGAGAGAGAGAGAGAGAGAGAGAGAGAGAGAGAGAGAGAGAGAACTGCTGCTCTTTAGTATATACACAAATATGGGCATTTCTCAGAAAATTAGAAATTGAGCTTCCATATGACTCCTCAATACCACTTCTGGGAATATATCCTGGGGGTGCAAAAAAGCACGGTAGAAATGACATATGCACCTGTATGTTAATTGCAGCACTGTTCACAATAGCCAGAATCTGGAAACAACATGAGTTCCGGAGAATAGATGACTGGTTAAAGAAACTATGGTACATTAACACAATGGAATACTATGCAGCTGTTAGGAAAGATGAAGTAATGAAATTTGCTTATAAGTGGATGGACATGGAGAGTATTCTGTTGAGTGAAATGAGTCAGAAAGAAAGGGACAGACAGAATAACTGCACTCATTTATGGAATATAAAATAACATAATATGAGATTAACACCCTAGCAGAGTAGAGACAAGGGTCAGGAAGATTGATCCATGGCTGGATGAGACCATAAGCTGGGGGAGAAGGCAGCTGGGATAGAAAAGCAATCATTAAGTCAATGATGGCTGGACGGATTGCTCAGGATAGGAGATGAGTAGATAAAGAACCAAACATAATGGCCTTTCTGTATCTGTATTGCAAACTGTAAGATCCAAAAGTAGAGAGAGACAGAAAGAAAGGGATAGACATAGAAAGATTGCATTCATCTGGGGAACATAAAGTAATAAAATAGGAGACTAGCACCCAAGAATGGCCGAGATTAGTACCAGTAATTTTACTCCATGGCTTGGAGGCCAACCACACATGCTAGGGGAAAAGGGAGCTCAGATAGAGAAGGGAACACCAAATAAAGGTGTTGGGAGGATCGTCCCAGGATGGGAGAAGCATGCTGAAAGTAGACTATAGACTAAATATGATTGTCACCCATTGCCTCTTTTGCGAACCACAATACCCAATAAGAGAGAGAGAACAAAAGGGAATGTCCTGCCACAGAGGCAGGGTGGGGTGGGGGGAATGGGGGGTGGGAGGGATACTGGGATCCGTGGTGGTGGGAAATGGGCACTGGTGGAGGGATGGATATTTGATTATTGTATAATTGAAACCCAAGCAAAAATGTGTAAGTCTGCAACTGTACCTCATGATGTCTCACTATTAAAAATTTTTTAAAAAAGTAGAGAGAGAGAGTAAGAAGAAAAGTGTCTGGCACAGAAAAGGGGGTGGGGTTAGGTGGGAATGGTGGGACATTGGTGGTGGAAAATGTGCATTGGTGGAGGGATGGGTGCTTAACCATTATATGACTGAAACTTAAACACGAAAGCTTTGTAAATGTATCTCACAGTGATTAAAAAAAAACACAGAAAAAGAATTGTACAGCTAAACATAAGGTGTCTTAAGCAAGACAGTTTTACATGGGCCACCTTTGTAAGACTTGAGTCCGACTGAAAATCCCTGTTAATTATTAAGCTCATGCATTATCTGGATACCTGACACTGCAGATTGAGAGCAGAGAGAGTTTGTCCCTTAAGCTAAGACTACATGCCGATAGAAAAATGTAGTTGTCGAGAAATTAAAAAACAAACCTCTTCCTCTTTTATGGAAGGACTGGGTAACTTCTATTTTGGCTGATAAACCTACAGACAGAACAATCAGTTTTCCATTATTGAGATTCCTGTTTGTTTTAGCATGGCGGAGCTTGGACTTCACAGAATTCTCCTCTTGATTATTTCTCTGACCAAGTATCTGGAGAGCACAAAACTGCTGTCAGGCTTCAAAAAATGTGGTGACTTGGAATGTGAAAGTAAGTTTGCTTTTCTTTTATTTCCTTCTTTTCGTCTTACTATGAAATTACTTAGAATGTTATTGTGGACATGCCTGATATAATGAGCATTAATAATACCATTGATAAATATCTGCAATTGTATAGTTAATAAATAGAAAACGCTGGAAGCAAAATATTTTGTGATAGTATTTAATGTAAATATACAAAATAGCGAAGATAAACTTGGTATGTAAACATATCAGAAAGTATAAAAACCAATGACTCAAAACCAAACTAACCAGTACTTTTAATAAGTTTAAGAAAAATGTAATTGATTTGTATTAAAAAGATACCAAATAATGATAGATTTTTACTTATGATGAAATATTTGTTTCTAATTCATAATCAGCACTGCTGATTCTCATTAGTCTTCTAAAGTTGTTTTTATTTCAAACAATACAATTTACTTTGTCAAAACTTTATAAAGCATAAATAATGTCTATGTTCACTTATTATAAAAATTCTACAATTAATAGTAAGAGTACATAATTTTGTTCATATCCTGTATATTAAACTTCCTCTATCTTCGAAAAAGAAAAATTGGTTTCATTTTATTTTATAGGAACTTAATTTATTTTCTGTTATTAGTTCTTTGGTGCAAAATGAACTCATACCAATATATTAGAGTTGCTTTAAATAAATTTTAACTCTCTGATATGTTAAAATTAGTTCTAATTTGTAACAAGTAAATTAAAATACAGGATGTTATTAGCATAAACAAATTAATTATAAGTAAACTTTTCATAGGTAAACATTTCCCTTAATCATTTGAATATGCAACTCAGTATTTTTAGGTTTAGTACATGTGATTACATAATACAAATTATATTTTTTCCTCTTTACAACATCATTTCAATTTTTTTTCTAGTGCCAGTTAGAGAACAGGGACAGAGAACACTCAAGTGTCTAGTCATTTATAATGTTATTTTCACTATAATGCAGAGTTAAAATGTTTTACATATTGTATAATTGTTAATTTGATAGATGTATTATTTTCTGTGTTGAATGATTAAATCTAGGATACATGGTTATGTTCATTGTTGAAAGCTATTGTATTTGTAGATTTTGTGGGGGTGATTGGTATGTATCCAAGAGGAAGAAAATAAAATCTAAGATAAGATTTTTGGCCTCTCGGGATTTTCATTCTAATGAATGGTGACAAGACCAGTCAATATTAAAAAACAAGCAAATGATTCCAAACATGGATCACAGATAATAGGGATGTTAGTGAAGGGGCAAGGCGGACTGGATCCACTAGAGAAGCTACGAAGAGAGCACTCGGTGTTTAGCTTTAGGAGAGAGCACGGGTACAGAAGGTGTAGTGAAAAGAGACTCAGTGAAAATCTGGCTCCACTGTTTATCATGTTGTCAGGTCTCTGAGATTAAACTACAATCATTTACTTCATAGTCTGTTTTAATAAAACAAAGCTATGAAAGAGCTTATCATAATACCTGGAATATAGTAGGTGCCAGGAAGAAAACTAATTCTTTTTTAAATCCTTGACAAAAATGATAATGACACATTCTAGTGGCAGTAGATAAATCTGATTGTAAAGGAATGAGAGGAAGCGGATTTTTCGTGTGTGTGTGGTGAACATACCGGACAGTGCTCAGGGCTTACTTCTGGCTCTGTACTCAAAAATCCCTCCTGTCAGGGCTCAGGGGACTCTCTGGGGTGCTAGGGATAGAACTTGGGTTGGTCTCCTATAAGACAAGTGTCCTACTATTTCTCCAGTCCCAAGGAACTGATTTTAAACATAGGAGGGGTAAAGTTAAAGACAATTATGTCTTATCATATATTTCAAGGCTTAGAATTGATTTTGTGGGGACTAGAGAACTAGCACAGGGATTAACATACTTGCCTTGTGTGCACCATACTGGTTCAGTTCCTGGCACCATACGATTTTGTGTACAGTGGGAAGTCTATGTCGTCTTTTTTTTAAAGGTCATAACTGTTACGAGGATCAGGACTATGACTCCAGTGGTAGACCACTGCCCCCCCACCTTGCATATGTGAGACCCTGGGCTTTATCCCTTCACCACATGACCCCCTGAGCCTTGCCTTGGGTCCCACAACTAGCAAAAATAAGTAAATTAGTTAAGAAGAAATTAGCATTTGGAAATACATAGGATGGATTGGAAGAAGTCAGGATGAAGAGGATGTCCACTGTTTACAGTCCTCCCATTGTTCATCGATTTGCTCGAGTGGGCCCAGTAACATCTCCATTTGAGACTTGTTGTTACTGTGTTTGGCATATTGAATACGTCATGGGTAGCTTGCCAAGGCTTTGCCATGCGGGCGAGATACTCTCGGTAGCTTGCTGGGTTCTCCAAGAGGGGCGGAGGAATCAAACCCGGCTTGGCCTCTATCGCTCCAGCCCGGGAGAGAATAATTACATTTTAATTTAAATTTGTGTTTTTTTTCCATTACATTTTTATATAGCTTTAATAAGCAGAGTCTTAGCCGTGACAGACTACACAGGACCTGACTGCCGATATCTGAACTTCACTGAAGGAGAAGAAATATTTGTTTATGTGAAACTTGCAGGAGAAGGGGAAGACTTATGGGCAGGAAGTGTAAGTATCTAATCTTACTAAAGTTACAGAATAAATGACAATCGTACAAGGATGCATCTTTCCTGAAGAAACTACATTGAAGAGTTTCAAAGGAACATATACATATTCTTTGTATAAAGATAGACATTCTTTAACTCGTTTAAACAAACAAAAAGGGGGGCTGGAGCGATAGCACAGCAGGTAGGGCATTTGCCTTGCATGCAGCCAACCTGGGTTCTATTCCCAGCATCCCATATGGTCCCCTGAGCACTTCCAGGAGTAATTCTTGAGTGCAGAACCAGAAGTAACCCCTGTACATCGCCAGGTGTGACCCAAAAAGCAAAAAAAAAAAAAAACCCAAAAAACAAAAACAAAAAAACCAAAAAGATTGGGGCCAGAGAAATAGTACAGAAGTTAAGGAGCTTGCCTTGGACACAGTTCACCATGGTTTAATCCCCAGCACCACTTAAGGTTCCCTGAGCACTGCTAGGAGTGTTCCCTGAACACAGAGTGAGGAATGAACTCTAAATAGAGCTGAATGTGTCCCCAAAACCAAAAAAAGTTGTGTTAACTGGTAATTCCAGAATGTCTATAAATTCATTTTCTTTTTTTAAACTTTTTAATTGAATCACTGTGAGATAGACCATTACAAAGCTGTTCATGCTTGATTTCAGTCAAATAGTATTCCAACACCCATCCCTCCACCAGTGTACGTTTTGCAGCACCAGTGTCCCCAGGTGCCGTCCCATCACCCCCAGCCCTAGAATGCCTATACATTTCTAAATGTATAGGGAAGAAATTTATAAATTTTTGGGGAAGATAGCTTAAAGGACTGGAGCATACTCCCAATGTGGGTAAGGCCCCTAGTATGGTGCCTGAACAAGCATGAACTCCTCCCCCCACCCTTCCGCCAGCCCAGGTAGCACTGCCAGCATGGCCTTGGGGAGTCCTTAACATTGCTGGGCTTGGGCAGTACAGCATCACAGAGCCCAAGTCAGGCCCACATGGCCAGGCCTAGTATTAGCAGGAGATGTCTCAACTAACTGTAGTGCATGCTTTGTAAGCAGGAGGCCCACATTTGATCCCTAGCACTGCATAGTCCTGCAGCATTGCTGGGAATGATGTCTGAGCATAGAACTTGGAGTAACCCCCAGGGGTTACTCAGGTACCATTAGGGGTGACCCAAAGCCCAAACCAAACCATAAAAACCACGACTAATACTAGCTCCAAGAAAACACCTGTGTCTTTCTGGGAAAATTAAGGACTAAGTTTTATTGAAGAGGTGCTCAGAAAGATCAATAGACTAAGAAAGCAAGATATTTGAATTTTTCTTGGAAAAAAAATAACAACTGAGTGGTTTATTCGGTTCAGAGTCCTCTTAATACTGTAGTTCCTCCAAGACTAAACCATCTTCCTGAGTATGTAACATAGGAATATTAATGATTAATGTTATTTTCAGCTGAAAATAGGTTTGCATCTTTGATTATAACATCATGTTTAATAATGAAAAATTCCATGGTAAGCAATTATTGTCCTATGCTGAAGAAGCATAACCAACCTGATACATACATCATTTCCATGCTGCATATGTAATGGAGGTCTCTCAAGTATTCTCTGATTGCTATATAAAGAAGCATATTCTATTAGGGTCTATCCTCCTTTTTATCATCAGTGACTATGTGACCAAAACTCTGAGTGCCACTGGCTAGAACTATTTGTATGGTCTCAGGTCAGAAAATTTCCACATTTTTTTTTTTAATAAAAGAGGGTTTAGGCCACACTTGGGTGATCTCAGGGTTTACTCTGTTTTCAAGGAAAATGCCTGTTGGTGCTGGAGAACCATAGTTGGGGCCAGGGAATGAATTGGTGGCTGGCTGCATGTAAAATAAGTGCCTTAAATCCTGTAATATCTCTATAACCCTTCTTCACCATTTTTGTTTGTTTTCATTTCGCGCACAGTTGTGCTCAGGACTTTACTCCTGGCTCTGCATTCAGGGATCACTCTTTTTTTTTTTTTTTTGCTTTTTGGGTCACACCTGGCGATGCACAGGGGTTACTCCTGGTTCTGCACTCAGGAATCACCCCTGGTGGTGCTCAGGGGACCATATGGGATGCTGGGAATTGAACCCGGGTCGGCCACGTGCAAGGCAAATGCCCTACCCGCTGTGCTATTGCTCCAGCCCCTCAGGGATCACTCTTAAGGGAACTATATAAGGTGCTGAGGATCAAATCCCAGTCAGCCGTGTGCAAAGCAAGCACCCTACCTTTTGTAGCATCTCTCCATCTCCTTCCTTATCTTTTTAAATTAAAAGGACTAAAAAAATCATAAATGCACAGGAGTTACTTTTGGCTCTGCTCAGAAGCTGTCTCCATCAGTGGGAAATCATGTAATGTCAGAGATTGAGCCCAGTCTCCTGAATGTAAAGTATTTGCTCCAGCCATTTGAGCTCCTCTCCAACTCCTCATCTTTCCTGTCTTGTGTTGTCTTAGACATACCACGTCTTGAATGCCCTAGAGATATCTAATGCAGCTGTAAGAGAAACAGTAGGTATCACGTTAGGAAAAGAAAGCATTCCTTCTTGCTTCCTGTGTGTGTAAAAACTAAAGTTTCTCACAAAAGTGATGATAATTTATGGTGCCAGCGGGAAGGCTTGAATGTGCTTGGTTTGGGATATTATTAGGTGTTTTCTTCATGCCTATAGTTATTTAGGGAACTACACTGTGAAGTTTGCCAATATACTGTCCATTTCTGTTGATCTTTATAATTTATTGTGTTTTGAAGGATGCATGCCAGTCTTTCAAAATCATCTTACCTGATTTTAATAAACTGAAATGCTGAATATGAAATGCTCCACCTAGTGTGGCTACTGCACCATTCTCTTACTTTGTGATATTCCAGCTATAATAGTGTAAATAAGTTCACTTGGGAAATAAGATCAGTAGAGGACACAGAAAAGGAAGAAAATTAGTATGCGAAATAGTTTTCCCTCTACAGATAGAAAAAATGACGATTTCCAGCTTAGATCTTTGTTCCTTCTGTTTAATGCTGTTCTTTTGAAACCCAGGTTTGATCTTTGGTATTGCATATGGTCCCCCCAACTCTGTCAGAAGTAATTCCTGAGTGCGTAGCCAGAAGTGACCCTACCTTCTTGGGAAAAAAAAGAAAGGCGAGAATGACTTAATTTTTTTTAGGATAGGTAATTAATTCTTTCTTATTCTTTTTAAAAAAATTTATAATCTTTGTTCTTCATTTTGATAGAAAGGAAAAGACTTTGGATATTTTCCCAAAGATGCAGTCCAGATTGAAGAAGTGTTCATATATGAGGAAGTTGAAATGTCAACTAAAGTAAGCAAACTCGTTCTTGGTTATTAACTGACTTTGAAATGTCTTGGTTAAGTGGAGCAATAGTAAGGCAAGTAAGGTGCTTGCAGCAAACCCTGACACAACATGGTGCATGAAGGGTAGAGCTGGAGGTAATTTCTTCCCCTCTCAACATTGAAGGCGAGAGTTTGTGTGGCTCAAGCCCCCCTCCCTAAAATGTATTTAAGAACATGGAATCAATGTAAATAAACATTGACAGACAACTGGAGAAGTTTTCTTCCCCAAACACTTTATTTAAACACCATGTTTTACAAAGTTGTTCATGCTGATTTGTTACAGGCATTCAATATTCTAACACCAATTCCACCACCACTCTCACCTTCACTCCAGCATTGTCTCCAACTTTCCCAACACTCCTGTATCAGACCCACAATAATTTATTTCATATTGCTTGCCAGCGATAAATTGTTAACTGAATGATTAAATAATATTTCCTTAGAAGAAAATTGTCAAAATTGTTGTATCTCACCATGTTCTTGTCTGAGGGATTATTAAGATGTTGTTACAAGTTAAGCCTTCTGTGTTAATGTTTTTGTTAGTTGAAGTTGATTGGCTTCAACATAATATCCCATAAAATCTGGTGGGCTATTAGCTGGATTGTCAGTATTGTAGAGTTTGAAGATGCCGTGCAGCTGTGAATGTGGCTCACTCCAGGAAATCCAGAATTTTCAACTGGGCAGTCCAGGTGGAGTTAAATTTTTAACTAGACAGAAGCTTAGTTATGAGGGAATGACTACAGGAGCTTCTGGAAGTACAGGGAGGTAGGGAGAGGTAGCGCATCCCGATCCCAAGAAGGGCTGGAGTTTTCAGGAACTGGAACCCCAGTACCTGAGGCTTGCGGAAGGTTAAGTTCTCGGGCAGGCTAGTCCTGAGGTGAGAGGCATGGCAGTGACTTCGGAGTGTGGGAACAAGTGGCTGCCAGGGTTTTGTTAGAATGGGCACTGGCCCATTCCCTTCCCAGAGTGCCCTGGTCATCTCAGCTGGGCATGGGTGGTTAAGAAATTTTTGCAGCTAGTTGTTCTCTTTCGAGGTTTATTTATGAGTTTCTGCATCAAGGTCAGCAGATGAGTTTACATGGTCGTGGGGGTGGGTCTTCACAGATGTTTTTGAGTGCAGTGGAGGTATCTAATGCAGCTGTGGAGTATTCAATGGAATACTATATATATTCAATTAAATAAAAGATAAAATTGTGCATTTTGCACCAAATGAATGTTTTTTATTTATTTATTTATTTATTTTTTTGCCACACCTGGACATCTTTGGAACCTACCTGCTTATGACTCCATGCTTATGGATCAGTTCAGGCAGCACTCAGGATCAAACCAGTGCTCACTGCTTTGCTCTTTAAACCCTAAAAGGCTGAATCTTGAGGTGATAGTGATAAATGAAATAAATGAGGAAGTGAAAGGCAGTTACCAGTGGGTTTCGTCCATATATGGAAATTTTAATAACTAAAGCAAGTAACCTGGCAGCATATAGCGAAAGTAACCTTTATGTGGTGAAAATTATAGTGGTTATTGAAGGGGAAAGGTAAATGAAAGGATGAATGAATAGGGAGGTCTTTTAGTAGTGAGAAGTTTGGTGGGGATTTTGGTGAGTGTAATAAACATAAATAAGTGTGAAGCTGACCTACAAAAATTTCATATGAAAAACCAATTATAAAACTCATAAAATTAAAAATTAAAAATTTCCTGCCTAAGCAGCTTTTCATAATATAGGCATCCATAGGTTATATACCCTGTTATAGTGAAAACTTAAAATAGCTTGAGAATTTACTTTATGAATAGCCTGAGAATGTGCATAAAATTAGGTAAGATAAAGTTGGACATAAGCATAGATTGAGTTCTGAACAACTGACAGTATGCACGGTGGTTGAAAGCATAGGTTTGGTTGCAGTCAAAGTTCAAAGTATGACTCCGTCATATAGTAACTAAGTGGACTTGGGAACTTTAATTTTCTAAACTGTAAAATCAGGGTGATAATTTCAATATAGTTCTATTTCATAAATTTTAATGAGAAAAAAATAAACACATGTAAAAAACAAAGAAGTACTTCGTGAGTGCTATATAATCCTTAAATATTATTAGTACTGTTATTGCCCTAACTTGGATAAAAGTTATTTCCTAGCACACATTCTGGGTCTCTTATCATTAAAACCTCATCAGCAATTGGAGTTTTAAATAAACTTGATAACATTTGGTTTCATAATGTTGGGCTTGTTAGTGACAAATGGTATCAGAAGGTTACTTTTAAATATGTGAATTTGATTGGCCTATTTAATTCAGAATCTAGGTTAAGCAAGTTTGTTTAAATGAAGTCAGTAGGACGTGAGTCAGTTTAGTTAAGCACACTATTGATAGGCTCTTTGCCAGCACCAATTTTGGGATTAATGGTCAGAGATAGTACAGTGGATAAGACACTTGTCTTACACATGGCCAAACCAGGTCTTATCCCCAGCACTACTTATGGTCCCTTCAGCACCACTAGGAGTGATCCCTAAGTGTGTTGTGAAGTTTCCTTCTTTTACATCACTATTCAGCTTGTTATATTACTCTAACTGCACTCCTAGAAGCTTTGTAAGCACATATGTTTTCTCAGAGTTTGGTTGAAAAATATACTCAATTGATTGTCTCTACTTGTTAAATTCCTCAACTCTTTGATGATGAACATTTTTTTTGAGTGTTTGTGTAATACCCAGCGATACTCAGGGGTTACTCCTGGGTCTACATTCAGAAATTATTCCTGGTGGTACATGGGGTATGCCAGGAATCAAACCTGGGTCAACCATGAGCAAGGCAATACCTTTGCTATACGATTGCTGTACAATTGCTCTGTATGATTGCTTTGGCCCCGATAATGAAAAAAATTTAATGTAAAGGTATTTTCATTTATGAAAATACTTATTTTCATAAATATTATTGTAGCACTGTAGCACTGCCCTCCCATTGTTCATCGATTTGCTCGAGTGGGCACCAGTAACATCTCCATTGTGAGACTTGTTACTGTTTTTGGCATATCGCATACACCACGAGAGCTTGATTTATTGTTAGCCTTGAAAATTTGGTAGTGATACAGATATTTGAAATCACATCTGATTTGGGGCTGGAGTGATAGCACAGCGGGTAGGGCATTTGCCTTGCATGTGGCTGACCAGGGTTTGACTCCTCTGTCCCTCTCAGAAAGCCCGGCAAGCTACTGAGAGTATCCTGCCTGCACGGCAGAGCCTGGCAAGCTCCCCGTGGCGTATTAAATATGCCAAAAACAGTAACAACAAATCTCACAATGGAGACATTACTGGTGCCCGCTCAAGCAAATCGATGAACAACAAGAGGACAGTGCTACAGTGCTACATCTGATTTTAGCTTTTGTTCTGCTGAGTTAGTTTTTTGGTCTTGGGAAATCAGTTACATATTTTAAATGACTTAGGGAGAAACAGTGCATTTTAATGTATGCGTATCAATCACAACTTTTTTCTTTTAGGAATCTGACTTTCTTTGTCTTCTTGAGGAAAGGTATATATTTGATAATGAGGAAAATGAGTTAAACACTGATAGTGGTGAAAAAGTATATCCATATGAAGAAGATGAAGACCAAAGCATGGGTATATATGAAAATGATTTTCAGTTCGAATCTGGATTTGATCCAATTTCTGAAAGTACTTTGTTTGAAGAACAGTTTTCACTATCAGAGGCTCTTGAAGGTATAAGAAGCACTAGTGAATCAAAAGACCGGGACGAAGCAGAAGCTGGAAGTGTGGAACAGGATCCTGTTCCAGAAGAGAGTCGTTACCCACAATCTTCATCTGTGCCTGGAGGGAAAGGATGGTTTGAATTCAGAGAGGAACAAGCCAACGAACTGATTTTTGAATCAGTTACTGAACTTTCACAAGAAAGCTCATTTCAAATTACAAAAATGGCAGTGGATGATGAGAATGACCTAGAGGAATTAAATCGTAGTGAATATCAGAAAGAACAGAAGCAAGAAACGGAGCTAGAATTTGGTTTAATAACAAAGAAGCAATCTGAACAGGAGTCTGAGAATATTTTAGAACCTCAAACCACTGGGTGGTTTGATGGTGGATTTACAGATTATTTAGGTTTTAGAAACGAGGATACAGAACTTGAGTCATTGTCTCAAGAAAATAATACACCACTAGATGTTCCTAATTCTGTTTCATCTGATAAAGATCCTCCAATTCCATGTGCAGAAACAGAGAAAAAAGACTCAGTCACTAATGATAGCTCAGTTTTCAAGCCAGGTTGGTTTGATTTTGGTTTTGGCATGCTAGCCTTTGCATATGCTAATGAAGAAAAACTTGTATCAGATGATGGAAAAAATGAGGAAAAAGGTGAAGGAGATAAACAGGAACATCTTCCAAGTGAACTTGATCTTGATAAAGAACAAGAAGTAAAAATAATAAAAACCATGGAAACTGAAGATCAAACAGTTGACGAAAATGTTTTAGTGAAAGCAGATAATTCTGACACTATGGCATACTTTCAAAAGTTTTTTCATAACTTTGACAACCCTTGGAACTTCCAGAACAGTCCAAAGGACACAGAATTACCATTCTCTGAACTCATACAGGATGAAGGTAATGTAGTTGAAAATGATAAAACAGAATTTTTTCAATTGAAAGTTATATCACAGATCATTATAAATGGTGTGGTGATGAAAAGTGGATAGAGCAGTAATGTGGTCATAAAACACCGATATATTCAAACAGAATTGATTTTTATAAGTCTAAATCAGATTAAAATTTCTAGGAATCTGAGTTTCCCAAAATACTCAACCAAATGATGAACAGCAGCTTAGTGAAAAAGCTCAATGGCCTTGAGCACATGCTGTGTGTGCAGGAGGAACAGACTTGATCCCTGGCACCACATGGGGTGCACTGAGCCGGGAGGAGCCACCCAATAACAGGTGTGGCCCCAAAACAACAACAAAGCCAAACCCCACAAGTGATCTCTAAGCTTATCAACCATCCCCTTTTTAATTTACCAGTATCTCATTTATTCTATAATTAGGTCTTAATATGAATTAAAATGGGCTGGAGCGATAGCACAACGGTAGGGTGTTTGCCTTGCACGCAGCCAACATGGCCGACCCGAGTTCGATTCCTCCGCCCCTCTCGGAGAGCCCGGCAAGCTACCGAGAGTATTCGATATACCAGACACAGTAACAACAAAGTCTCCAATGGAGACGTTACTGGGCCCGCTCGAGCAAATCGATGAACAAAGGGAGAGCCTTTACCTTTACCTTTTATGAATTAAAATATTAATTACAAATCCCAGGGGAAAAATGATTTGAGATGTAAAGATGTTCCAAGAAAATATTAGGTATTTTATTATTGTTATTACTTATTTATTTTGGTTTAGGGACCACACCCAGCAATGCTCAGGAGCTCTTAGTGGTTCTGTGCTCAGGAGTGACCACAGGCTGTGTTTGGGGAACCATATGCAGTGGTGCCAGGGATGGAACTGGGGTCAGCCACCATGCAAGGCAAGTGCCTTGCCACCTGTGTTCTCTCTCTGACTCTATAAAATTTATTTTTATTGAAAAATGATGTATATTAAATAGTACTGAGGCAATTTTATTTTTAGCAAAATCAATTTCTGTTCTCCCTATCTATCTTAACTCCCATATCTGTTCTGGAGACAGTATTTCATTTTTCTTTAAAGCAAAGGTCCTAAAATCTTTTTTGTATTTTTATTTCTAAATAAGATCTTTAAAGTGTGGTGATTTATTTCATCTATTTTGTATAATTTTAATTAACTTCCTATTCTTGCAGATAAGGGTTATTTTCCATTTACACTCACTTTTCCTTTACACCTTCAATATATGGTACCACATATATTGAAATGATTTTCTTAGAAATCTAAGCAAATGGGCCAGAGAGATAGCACAGTGGCTAGGGTTTTTGCCTTGCACCAGCAAACCCAGATTTGATCCTGGCATCTTCTATGGTCCCCCTGAGCTCCACCAGGAGTAATTCCTAGGAGTAACCCCCGAGCAATGCTGGCGGTGGCCCCAATACCAAAACCAACCAACTAAACAAAAAGAAGTCTAAACTAAGGGAAACTTCAGCAATTCAAAATATTCTTATTCCTAAATGATAGTTTACTGTTGGTCTGAATTCATACAAGAACTATAGCTTTTGGGTGGAGGTGGTTTGGGCCACACCCAGTGGTGCTCAGGACTAACTCCTGATTTTGTGCTTAGAGATCACTCCTGGCAGTGTGTGGGGAACCAAATATAGTACTCAGAATTGAACCCAGCTTGGCCACATGCAATGTAAGTGTCCTACCCACTGTGGTATCTAATTCTCTGGACCCTAGGGGAAAAAATGAAATATACAACAAAGGAGTATTAAGAGAAGGAAAGACATAAAAAAGAAAGGAAAAAAAAAACCCAAACAAAGATATAGCATGAACTAAAAAGGAAATAAATAATACTTTATTTGCAGACACAGTTTTTTTTTTAATTTTATTGAATCAATTTTAATTATGTTGGGGCTGGAGCAATAGCACAGTGGGTAGGGTGTTTGCCTTGCACGTGGCCGACCCTGGTTCAAATCCCAGCATGCCATATAGTCCCCTAAACACCCCCAGGAATGATTCCTGAATGCAGAGCCAGGAGTGATCCCTGAGAATCACCAGGTGTGACCCAAAAAGAAAAAAAAATTAATTATGTTTTGATTATTTTAAGATGTTAATTAGTTTTGTAAAGTTCTTACAGTTTTCCATTTGAGGTAACAATTGTCATCCAGATACAAATAATTTGCTACAGTTCACTTTTATTTTCTATTATTTCCAAGTTAGTGCATGTAGTATAGCTTTCCCTGATTTTAAAAAAATAATAAGAGAAAAACAATACTCAAGATCAACAAAGTTTAAGGTTAATATTGGGGCTGGAGCGATAGCACAGCGGGTAGGGCGTTTGCCTTGCAAGCAGCCAACATGGCCGACCTGAGTTCGATTCCTCCGCCCCTTTCGGAGAGCCCGGCAAGCTACCGAGAGTATTCGATATGCCAGACACAATAACAACAAAGTCTCCAATGGGGACGTTACTGGGCCCGCTCGAGCAAATCGATGATCAACGGGAGGGCCTTTACTTTACCTTACCTTACCTTATTGAATCACTGTGAGATAGTTACAAGCTTTCATGTTTGGGTTACAATCACACAACGATCAAACACTCATCCCTCCACCAGCCCACATTCCCCACCACCAATATCCTTGGTATACCCCCCTTTCCCAACCTCCCCCTTCCTCCTTGGCGGACATGATTCCCCATAATCTCTCTCTACTTTTGGGCATTATGGTTTGCAATACAGACACTGAGAGGTTATCATGCTTGGTTCTTTATCCACTTTCTGCACACATCTCCCATCCTGACCGATTTCTTCAGCCATCTTTTTCTTAGAGATCCCTTCTCTATTTCAGCTGCCTTCTCCCCTTTGCTCATGAGGTAGGCTTTCAGCTATGGAGCAATCTACCTGTCCCATGTATCTGCTATCCTTAGGTGTCAGCCTCATGTTATGTTGTTTTATACTCCACAAATGAGTGCAGTCCTTCTATGTCTGTCCCTCTCTTTCTGACTCATTTCACTTAGCATGATACTCTCCATGTCTATCCATTTATAAGCAAAGTTCATGACTTCATCTCTCCTGACAGCTGCATAGTATTCCATTGTGTAGATGTACCAAAGTTTCTTTAACCAGTCTTCTGTTTTAGGGCACTTGGGTTGTTTCCAGATTTTGGCTATTGTGAACAGTGCTGCAATAAACATAAAGGTACAGATGTCATTTCTACTGTGCTTTTATTGCAGAAGACACAGTTTCTAAAAGAGAATGGCCTAAGACAACTAATGAAGACACACATTTCAAAAATTATGATGAAAAATCAGAAATATCATTAGATACTGAAGACACTTATGAATTGGAAATGGACATATTTTTGGAAAATAGCCTACTAAACAGTGAGTTGTTTTCAACTGATAACTCCTTGTCTTCTCATAAAGGTAAGAAACAAGTTAACTGTTCTTCAGCATAATTATTAAGGAAGAAAGTAGGTTTGAAAGCACATCATACCAATATTAACTTATTTTATTTATCAACCAACAGAAGAAGCTTCAGAGCATCAGACTGATTCATTTCAGTTTTATGGTTATGATTTTTTGAGTTCTGCTTTTTCATCAGTTAGAATTCTTATAGAAATGGTAAGTAGATCTATTAGTACTTTTTTAATAATTTGACTATTTGAATACCTGAGTGACTTCTTCCTATGTAAATGCTACATAATGCTTTTCTTTATGTAAAATTTTACTTGAAAGAGTTTTTCCTTACATATAGGCAAGGATGCCATTAAGGATTTTTTCTTTCTGTTTTTGTACTGCCAGCAATCAAAATTAGGGCCTCACACTTATAAGGCCAATGCTCTAGTACTGAGCTATACATCCCAAACTCTATTAAGGAATTATTTTTTAAATTTTGCTCTTGGGGTCACACCCAGCGATGCACAGGGGTTACTCCTGGCTTTGCTTGGAGGACCACATGGGATGCTGGAAGTTGAACACGGGTCAGCTGCGTGCAAGGCAAACGCCCTACCCATTGTGCTATTGCTCCAGCCCCACTATTAACCTTAAACTTTGTTGATCTTGAGTATTGTTTTTCTCTTATTATTTTTTTAAAATCAGGGAAAGCTATACTACATGCACTAACTTGGAAATAATAGAAAATAAAAGTGAACTGTAGCAAATTATTTGTATCTGGATGACAATTGTTACCTCAAATGGAAAACTGTAAGAACTTTACAAAACTAATTAACATCTTAAAATAATCAAAACATAATTAATTTTTTTTTCTTTTTGGGTCACACCTGGTGATTCTCAGGGATCACTCCTGGCTCTGCACTCAGGAATCATTCCTGGGGGTGTTTAGGGGACTTATATGGCATGCTGGGATTTGAACCAGGGTCGGCCACGTGCAAGGCAAACACCCTACCCACTGTGCTATTGCTCCAGCCCCAACATAATTAAAATTAAAAAAAAATTTGTTCACTTTTTAAAATTATAAATCCTATATTATATATTGTAAATGAGATGTTGGGAAAGGACCTAACATGTATTGCTTGACACATACGGGATCTTCTACAAATGCTAGTTCCTTTTGATATCTACTGCAGCCATGAAATAATTAAGGGCAGTCCTCATTTTTCTTTTTATTTATGTAAGATAAATTTTAACAGTGGTGCCTTCAAAGAGTTCATTCCAGTTTGAGTAGAGAGCTCAGAAAAGCAACCATTATACAGTGTTGTGATAGTCATCAATTGCTACTGATAGACAAAAGGATCTTCTGGACAGACTTCTTAGGAGCAGTAGGTATAGAGGGGAGGAGGAGACAGAAGGTGTCTCAAAGGAGCTAAGATATCTGTTCATCTTGAAAGAAGACTAGAAGTTAGTTAAAGAAAAAAATAAGCATTCTAAGATTAAGAGATTATTTTAGGCCAGAGCAATAGTACAGTAGGTAAGGAATTTGCTTTGCACTTAGTATACCCAGGTTCAATCCCTGGCATCCCAAATGGTCCCCTAAGTACTGCCAGTAGTGATTCCTGAGTGCAGGAATAGGTGTGCCTCTGTCCTGAGTACTGATGGGTGTGCCTCTGCCAACACTCACCCCACTCCCATACACACAAAAGAAGAGCTTTGAATGTTATAAGAAGTTAAACTTGACATAGAGATTATAGTCAGTAAGGCATATGCCCAGACTCCAGTTTGAAAATTGGCACCACATACAGTCCACTGAGCACTTCCAGGAGTGATCTCTGAGCCTAGGGCCAGGAATAAGCTCTGAGTACCCCCAGGTATAGCACCTCTCCACCCCTCATCCCCCACCCCTGCAAAAAAAAAAAGAACATCTTTGACTGTTAAAAGACACTGTATTCTATTTAAAAATCTGTAATATATTGTCATAGATGGAATGTGTAAAGTCCAAGGCAGGGTGCTCTTGAAGAAGTGATTGCAGGCCCAGATATATTGCACAGTGGGCAAGGTGCTTGCCATGCATGCGACCAACCCAATATTGAACCTGCATCCCATGTGGTCCCCCAAGCACTGCCAGAAGTGATTTCTGAGTGCAGAGTCAGGAATAACCCCTGAGCATTCTCAGGTGTTCCTCCCTTCCTTCCCCTTCCCCAGAAGTGATTGCAGTTCAGGACATAAATGGTGACATTATGAATTATGGATCACCAACTCAAATGAAATGAAGTCTAAGTATGAGAACTATAGTCAACTGGAGAATGCTAATGTTACCTTCACAGGGGTCTATTTTTACCTTTTCTTTTCTCACAGCAAGAAGGAATATGAGGGCCAGATAAATGTTTAGAGGAACATTATTGTAGAGTGGAATTAGAGTTTCCAGGGATGAACCTGATCAATTCTGAGAATTCTGAGGAGTGTCACACTCACACAGGACTGGGGGAACTAGGCGTATTGGGTCTAGAAATGAAGGGATGAAATACAAATGATTATGCAAAGTCTATTCTAGGAATAGTCAGGCACACTCCGAGAAGCAGAGCACCATTCATTTTCTTTCTTTCTTTCTTTCTTTCTTTCTTTCTTTCTTTCTTTCTTTCTTTCTTTCTTTCTGTAGGACTACTGCTATTTATTCAGCCATTGATTAAGCTGATTGAATTGGGCATGAGTTCCAAATTACTAAAATTACTTTTTTTTTTTGACTTTTTGGGTCACACCTGGTGATGCACAGGGGTTACTCCTGGCTCTGCACTCAGGAATTGCTCCTGGCGGTAGCTAAGGGGACCATATTGGATGCTGGGAATCGAACCTGGCTCGGCCATGTGTAAAGGCAAACGCCCTACTCACTGGGATATCACTCCAGCCCCCTAAATTACTTTTTTTTTGGGTCACGCCCAGCTCAGGGGTCACTCCTGGCTCTGTCACTGTCACTGTCCTCTCGTTGTTCATCAATTTGCTTGAGCGGGCCCAGTAACATCTCCATTGTGACAAATGTTACTGTGTTTGGCATATCAAATACATCACGGGTAGCTTGCCAGGTTTTGCCATGCGGATGAGATACTCTCAGTAGCTTGCCGGGCTCTCTGAGAGGGGCGGAGGAATAGAACTCGGGTCAGCCATGTTGACCACTTGCAAGGCAAATGCCCTACCCACTGTGCTATTGCTCTAGCCCCTGGCTCTGTACTCAGGAATTACTCCTGGCAGTGCTCGGGGGACCATATGGGATGCTGGTGATTGAACCCAGGTCGGCTGTGTGCAAGGCAAACACCCTACCCGCTGTGCTATCACTCTGGCCCCCCCAAATTACTTTTTAAAAAATTAAAAAAAATTTTAAAATTGAATATCCATGAGAGACCATTACAAAGCTATTCATAACTGGATTTCAGTCATACAATGATCCAGCACCCATCCCTCCACCAGTGTACATCTCCCACCACCAATGTCCCATTTCCCTACCATCATACCCCAACACCCCACCCCCCAGCCCCAGTCCCTCTCTATGGGAGGCACTTTCCTTCTTGCTCTCTCTCTTTTTCCTTTTGTGCATTAATGGTTTGCAATACAGGAGCTGAGAGGTCATGATGTTTGTTTAGGGCATTCAGTTTTGTTATCGGAATGGTAAGGCTGGAGTAGTGTTTCAGTTGGGTGACCCCTTTGGGGTGTGGATGTGACTGCTGAGGCTTCTGGAAGTACAGGGAGGTGGGGAGAGGTAGCTCATCCTGGCCTGGAGAAAGCCTGGAGAGTTCAGTCACAAAACCTGCATACCCAAATTTTCAGCAGATTTTATCTTGGTGACGTATATCCATCCTGAGACGGTGGAGTCAGGCTGGGGGTATGGTGGTGATTTTGGCTAGTGGGAGCAAGCAGCTGCCGGGGGCTCTGCTTGGGAAGACTCCAGACTAACCCACCCCCCTCAGATTTACTCTGGTCTGTTCAGCCATGTGTGGGCCTAAGATTAACTGTGACTTTTGATCAACTTTCGAGATTTATTTATGGGTCTCTGAAGCAAGGCCGGTAGTAGAGCTAACAGGGTGGCACTGAAATTAGTTTGTGGGGGTGACAGCCAGTGCTTCCAGGAGTATTGGGAACTGGGGGGAGGTAGCCCATCCCAACTCCGAGAAAACCTGGAGAGTTCAGACACAAAACCTGCATACCCAAGTTTTCAGCAAATTATATCTTGGTGAAGTCTGTCCTGAGATGGTGGAATCAAGCCAAGAGCATGGTGGTGATTTTGGGTTGTGGAAGCAAGAGGCTACCAGGGGCTCTGCTTGGGCAGGCACCAGGCCAACTCTCCCTCCCCCCAATTTACCCTGGTCTGTTCAGGCATGCACAGGTCTGTGGCTTCTGATCTCTTTCAAGATTTATTTTTGAGTCTGTGAAATAAGGCCAATAAATGGGCTTGTATAGCTGAGCAAGAGGTAGTTTGTGGATGTGGTTCCCACATACTTTTGGCCATATAATTTTCTGGCAAACTTGGCCCCAACTTTTTGGGATTTGGCCAAAGACACAGTGGCAATTTTGGGGTATCAGGAAGCCTGAAGGCACCATCAGGCTGCTGATGCACTCACCCCACAGGTATAGGTTGACCTGCTGGCAGTATCATACCCCTCTATTTATTTATTTAACTTAAATTTTTGTTAGTGAAACACCATGAGGTACAGTTGTAGACTTACAAATTTTTGTGCTTGGGTTTCAATTATACAATGATCGAATACCCATCCCTCCACCAGTGCCCATTCTCCACCACCACCAGTCCCAGTATCCCTCCCACTCCCATCCCCCCATTCCACCCTACCTCTGTGGCAGGGCATTCCCTTTTGTTATCTCTCTTTTTTTGAGTGCTGTGGTTTGCAAAAGACATATTAAGTGGCAATCATGTTCGGTCTATAGTCTACTTTCATTATGCATCTCCCATCTTGAGAGGAATCTCCCAACACCCTTTATTTGGTGCTCCCTTTTCTACCTGAGCTGCCTTTTCCCTTAGCATGTGTGGCTGGCCTCCAAGCCATGGAGCAAAATTCCTGGTACTAATCTCAGCCACTTTTGGGTGTTAGTCTTGTATTTTGTTACTTTATGTTCCCCAGATGAATGCAGTCTTTCTATGTCTGTCCCTTTCTTTCTGACTCATTTCGCTTAGCATGATACTTTCCATGTAGTACTTTGGTACATCTACACAATGGAGTACT